TAATACATTTATTCTCGTTGATGTCTAGAATGTGATGTACGAAAGTCACGTAATGAATTTAAATTAGGTAGTTTAGTTTTTGCATGTTGACAATAGAAAATCTTTTTAAAAGCACGACGAAAATGTATATTACATAATGGATATACAAGAGGATTAACGGTTGAATTTATATATCCAAGCCATATAGATGCAGTATAAATAGTATCTGATACACAATTATGACACCATGCTACGACTAAAAATAATATGAAATAAGGTAACCATGTTATAGTAAATACACCAACGAGCATTCCCAACTGTCTAGCAGCTTTAAGTTCTTTTTGAAATGAACTTGAAAGACTTGGATTAATAATATAATCAAAAAATGTTAAAATATGCATTTTATTCGGTTGATTTATTAATGTTGAAGGAACAGTTAAATACTGATCATTAGAAATTGTTGTTTGATTTTCTTCAGGAACTGGAGGAGAAGATGATGATGATGGTGTTCGCAATCGACTAAAAGAAAGAAAAGAAAAAAAAAACAATGTATTTGTCAAATAAAGAAATTCTAGGTTTCTTTAACTAGTAATAATTGTTTTGTAGAAAATGTCAAGAATTAATGGGTTAGATTATCTTTGTGATATCTGTTAAAAATAATTAATAGACTCTGAGTACTGGATACTATCAAGAAGATTTGTTTACTGCAAATTGACAGTCCCATTTGTATTAATAACTAATATACTCAACATATTTTGAGTGTTGAATACAATTATATACTAGTTTCCTATATTAATAATAGTAATTGAAAATTTTATATTTACATAGCAGTTTTTTCAGTTGATGTTATTAGTTCATGTTCCAATGGATAAATGAATATTGTCTGTGGACAATCATCTGAAAGACTCGATGATGATAATGCTCTTGGTATATGACTTAAACTAATTGATGCTATAGTTGATTGTCTCTCAGGATATTTTATATCATTTGTAACACTTATAGAATTTTTCATTGACTTATTAATAGAATATCTTTGTGATAATTGTTCAGTTTTACGTCCAACATTGTCTCTTACGGATGATAATGATGGAAATAAGATTGTAATAGGTTTTATAGAAGGAAAACAAAAACGTGTTTCACCATTTAAAGGAGATCTATTCGATTCAAGTTGTCCAAGACTATCATTATCATCATCATCATCATCAACATCATTATTCTTCTTCTTTTGATTTAATATTTCATTAGATTCACATGATGGAATGTTGAAATTTTTTATTTCTGAATTCAATGGATTAACAACAATTGACATTGTTCCTGTTGGTTTATCTATTCCATCCGATGATAATTGTTCTGAACATCTTACTGGATTTTCATGACGTATTAATGATGTATTCATAAATGCAAGTTCTTGTTTCATTTGTCGTTGTGTTGCTGATGATATACGTCGACCAAATTCCATTGTTGAACGTGAACGTACAGCAACCATTATACGACATGATATAATTATCATTGTTAATAGAGGAAGATAAAAATTACCTAGTGCAGTTAAAGTTTTAAATAATTTATTCGAACGAAATGATGTATCACATTCATTTGGTTTTATAATATCACTATGTTCAGGAATTAAATATGACCAAAATATAACTGCTGGCGCCCATAATAATGATATAAACCAAACAATAATAATAAAATTAGTTGCTCGTTTACGTGATCGATTTCGAAGATAACGTAATGGATAAACAACAGCCCAATAACGATCAAGACTGAGAAGAACAAGATTAAATATGCTAGCAGTACTAGAAAAAAAAAATAAACATTTTTTTAGCACTTTTTCGATTACATTTATTCATTCGGTGGTACGTGTTAATTTAAATATTTAATAATTATACTGATATATTCAGTCACGAGTGTAAATTATACTTGAGAAGAATATCAAAAAAATAATTTCTATTATCAATCTCTATTTATGTGTTAAAAGAAATTAATTTTTTATAGTATGTAATCTCTAGGTACACGTTCACGCCTGATAGAATGGATGACCTTTTTCTTTTCTTTTAACATGCGAAAGCAATCGTATTATAGTAATCCTATAATTTTTCTTCGTACTATTTTTTTTCTAATGATTTATTTACCTAGCAACATAATCAATTGATAACCACATTTGACAGAGCACAGTTGAAAATGGCCATCGACCAGCTATAATATTTGCGGCACTTAAAGGCATAACAAAAATTCCAACTACTAAATCGGCAAATGCTAAACTTAGAATAAATAAATTTGAGACTGTTCTTAAACGTTTTTCTGTTCGTATAGCATAAAGAATTAAAAGATTACCAAATATAGTAAATATTGATAAAATAAATAATAAACATCCTAATAAAATTTTTTGTACTAATATATCGACAGGTGTTGTCGAAAAATAATGATTTGTTAATGAATTTTGTAAGGTATCATTCATACTCGTTCATCAATATGGATTTTCTTTTTTATTTCAAAAATTTTTATAAAAAATCCAAATCATATTTATGCATGAGTATACTAAAATAAAAAAAAATATATTGTATTATTATATTAGCTATCGTTTTATAGACTGACAGAAGAAAATAAAAACACCAATGCTATTCATAAGCCCATTTTTGTACTCTAATTTCATCTGACATCGGAGTTAAATTAAGATCAAGTATGCATCAGGGAACAAAAGAAAGTCTCATTCTCACACTTGCTCATTTCTGACAGGATGAATTTGGAAGAAAAAAGTGTTATAGATTGAGTGGATGTCAAGAAGAGCACAGGTTCTCGTAAAGTAAAAATAACATGAGAATATAACTGTTAAAAAAACCTGGGAGGAATATTTTATTTTTAGTAAGATAAAAATAGACGAAACAAATGAAAGGAGATTTTGTCTAATAGATAAAAAAAAATCTCAAATGAGATGAATAATTAGTGTATTCTTCATGATTATATTACTGTTTTTTTTTTCTTCTTGTCATAAAAGTATTATTTAGTCATTGCAAAGTATATATTATTAGAATACAAGTAACATAGATTGCAAAAAAATATAAAGAACAATGACAAGTATAATTGATGAAAAATGAATAAGGCAAAAGAAAAGAAAATCTAGACTAACATTTATAAAAATTTTCTCATGTCATTTTTCTATTGATAATTAAGATTAAAAAAAGAAAGATTTTCAAAAAATAGCAAATCACTAAATATATGATTACATATATAAATGAAATAAAAGAAAAACATGACATTATTCATAACAAATGAAGTCTTACTATTTTTTTCCCTACTTTCTTAAATAAACAATTAACCTATAAAATTGATTTTAATAGTTTTTGTCTTACTCGAATGACTTTTTTCTACATGCTATTAAATCGGAACTCCTTTTAGATATTTGTATAGTAAAATAACGAGAAAAGAAAAAAATATTTTTACAGAAATATAGGAGAAAATAAAAAAAAAGAAATACCCATATGGCGCATTGGATAAAAAGCCATATATGTCTGGATGTATTATTTGCTGCATATAGATTATAAATACTATTGCTTTATGATCGACCATTATAGAAACTCTTTGTTCTAAGTTTTCTTCAATCATTAGGGTAGTTATATCTTTTAAAGGTTTTTCTTTCACAGTAATAATAATAATAATAATAAATGATAGTAAAAAGAAAACTCGGCTTTCTTTCTTTTTTTTTGTTTTCTCTGCAGCGCACTAAAAACATTACCGGTTGTCTTTGTCAAGTGACACTAAACAATTGAGGAAATTACTTTTTCCATTCGAAGAGTAAGAAGATCAACAGCAATTCTTTTCTTAATGTTATTAATGGAAAATATAGTAACAATTCTATTTTATCTAATAAATTCTCTATTTCATATGGTGATGCCGGAGAATCTAATCAATTTTTTCGTTATTTATATGACGTTTCTATAGAGTTATATTTATGCATATATTAAAGAAGATATAAGTTATCTACCTGTCTCTATAGTCATGAATGTCATTGTTGTCGAAAAAAAGAGAAATAGAAAAATACCATATATTTAATTGATCGCGGAACTTTTCCTTTGTCGATATATAATGAATGACAATAAAAGAAATGCTCCAAGTAACTAGGATTTTTTTTAAACAGAAAAAAAATAATAATTGAAGTGAATAACGAACACTTGAATCAACTATTGTCGTAACTCTTAAATCATTATTTCTTTGTTATTGCTCTTCATTATTCATATTCTCCTAAGTTGATTCTTACTACTTCCGTCTAATCATTAATGGATAGACAAGAAAAAAAAATTTCCTTGTATTAACTTGCTTCTTATTATTTTGTCTGTTAGCAATCAAAAAAGATGTCGTTTCGCGAACGTCCTATCTTTATTCGCTTTACTATTCCTGTAATTATCTCGCACCACTTGTCACTGTCAAGAAATAAAAAAAAAAGACTATACAATGTCGATATACTAAGCCAATATTTGCTGGTATAAATAGTTGTGTCTTAATCCTATTAGAACGCACGATAAGAGCGCGAGAGAGAGAGGGAAAAAAAATAATAGAATAGACTTGAAAACATGAATAGAAAATATTCCATCGATTAACTGATCTAACCACTATGTTCGATATACTTACAAAATATGATAGGAGGAATTGTTGATGATCAAAAAAATAAATAAATAAGAGATTATCTTTCTATTAATAGTGCTTTGTTTTTTGTTTCAAAACAGCAGGCATAGATACACAAAAGAAAAATTTAGAGTTATGATCATTCGTCTCAATTACTATCATCCCTAGACAAAAAAATCGTTTTTCATAGTTTATCTCATGAATCTTCAAACTCATAATTTATCTAAACGAGTTTCTTCATCTACATGATAATCAATCATTGCCAATCTTCATTATTGATCGATCTATTATGCATAAATCATATCATAGAATAACACAAAATAAGGAAATATAACAATGACTAAATACTTTGATAAAAAAAATTATCAGTAATTTTAAATAGAATTCTTTTTTTTCTACTAATGTCGAAAAGAATAGGTTGTGCGACATGCGAGCTAATTAATATTACAAATTACCGTTAAACCAAAGTCATTGAAAGACAAATGGACAGTTAAAGTGCTTATCCAAATATCAACAGATGGTTGTTGTCATCTATTTAACAATTTGCTAATACTATATTGATAAATGACACGACGTATATCAAAAACACGAATGTCAATCGATATAAATAACTAAAAAAAACAACATCTCGGAGTATAATTACAAAACTAACATTCTTAGCGGCTTTGTCTATTGTAAGAAATATAGAAATGAAAAAACACTTCTAAGATATTACTATATTTATATGTGTAGAAGAACATTAGGATTACTAGACAATTCTTTTACATTACTATAGTAATCGAATAACTGTATGTCATCTTCTTTTTTTTAGACTGATTTTGTCCTTGAGAAGTCTACCCTTCTATTGGGTCATCTATTCTCAAGTGTCCTTTCTAAACAAGAACGCGTTCTTATAAGATTAGTATATTGAATTTTTAACGTAACGAAAATAAAAATTATTCATTTATCATAGTTAAATTAGAAAAAAAGCCTAATAAACAATATCATAGAAATGTATATATGTTATTTTGTTCGATTATGATATAATTTGAATACATGTTTGTTTCTATTTTTATTCGATTAAGAAATTAATTAGACTCATTAATATGATAAGATATAAATATAATAATTTGAAAAAGATTACCTCTTGTTTGCGATCATGAGTTGCCTATACTTAATGACATACGACCTGTTTTTTTCTTTATTTTTTTGTGTGCCTCTGTCAAGTCTTGTCGACACTCAACATTAAGTAAACACAATTGAAAGAAAACATCTGGCGTCGAGTATTGAATGTAGAAAGTATTTTAAATGTATCTATTAAGTTATTTTCATGTACATTTATAGTCATTAAAATCAAAAAAAACACAAAGTACATATGATATAATCATCTAATGAGAACACAGCTGAGTTGGTTAATATGCTCTGTAAATTTGAATATATTATTTATCTTAATGTGTGTATATATATAGAATAACATGCAAATTAAAATCTAAGATTTCAGCTTTTTTTTTCTGTATTTTATATTGGATCTTATCTATTCATATTATTAAATTAGTTATAAATATAGAAAAAGAAAAGAGATTATAATTTGTATAAATTTTAAAAAAAAAAAATTATTATTTAATATACATTTATTTATTATTCAAAACTTTTGATGAATTGATTTACAAACAATGTGTGTCAAGAATTCTAAGCGAGTTGTTGTTGTTCTTAATAATTAGTTTATTGATTTGATTATGATAAATATTGTTTTTGAAAAGAAGTTTCTTAGACAAATTAATCTTCGCTTTATGATTCGACGGAATATGGTTATAATAGAGTTACAAATCTGTTTGACAAGACTTTAGAAAATATATGAACTGCTTCCATCATAGATATGCATACATAACAATATCAATGATTGATTAGCTTTTTTCTTATTATATTGTTATATTTTTGGTTAGAACCTCTGTGACATGCAATAGATTGTATTCGCTAATAGCTGGAATAGTTTAACTGAATAATTACGGATTTTTTTATGATTTTGTCTAATGTAAGCATTATTGATCATAGATATGTATAGAAACAGACATTTGATTAAACAACAGTATAAATCTTGGTTGTTTTGTGGATTGGGACATTTTCCTGTTTATAATTATATTTATAACTCTCAGAAAAAATAACTTTTCTCATAACATAAAATATATAGTGTTAAGACATGATTACAGAAAATGAAGGAAAAGAGAAAACTATATGATGGTAATATTACAGTTATGGTACTAGTCATACACAAGGCACTGGTTGTCGGATTTTCTTTAATGATCATAGAACCGTAGTGAGCTGTTGATTTGTGTTAGTTCTAGTTTCTTTTTTTCTTCATCTATCCAAACTAGAGAAGAAAAAAATAAGAACTAGTATTTTTGTAACACTATTTCTTGGCTATGTGATTTCTTGTTTTCATATTTACTAAACATGAATAATACGTCTGACAAATAATATAGAATAGAAAAATGAAAATTCTATGGATAGAATTTCCAAAATAAATATACTTCATATAATATTACGAATTATTTCATTTAATAACAATGGAAGAATATGAATTTATTATTTATAATCAGATTCATATCATCTTAGTATTTCTTGGCTTATGGTTTTCATATTGTTGGTGGCTTGCTGAACAATATCGTTTTAATTTTGGTCGATATACAACAATTCTACGTTTATTATTTTGTATAATACATGTATTAGCAGTATGGACATTTTTTCAATATATTATTAAATTTGCTGTTCGTTTGTATCATTTTAGTAGACGCTTACGAGCTGTTGTAACAGATCATTTAATTATGATTGCATTATCATTTGTATTATTTTTATTATTAACATTTGTTCTTAATTTTAAAGATTTTTTAAGCGATGCTTTTGCAATAGTAGATTAAAGTTCTTTTTTTTCTTCTTCTTTCTCATCTAGTATTGTTAATGATAGATGTCAAAAAAGAGTTCTCTCAGTAAAATATATATATAACAGTTGATAATAATTAATCTTAATGATACTGTTTGTATGTATTTATTTTAATAAAAAAAAAATAAGCTAAGTCATATTAACATTTAGTATTACACAGTTGATGTTGTAAATCATAAATAATGTTTATATATCTTAATTGGTGTAAAGGATGAAGTTGGAATGCTTACTTTTGTTTAACATAAGATATATACTCATTCGATTGCTGATATGTTTATTACATTAGTCTAAATGTATTGAATAAGTATACAAGTAAGATTTATTTTAATGCGTAAAGATACTTATTCAATCTCGATAACATTCGATAAAGTGGATGTGTCGCAGTAACAATTCGAATGTTTTGAACTTTGTACATTATTACGAGTTAATGAGTTAAATAAGCACATAATATGATTATAGTTGAGAGTAATATTAGTTAAAATCTTTATCATGAAAAGGAAAATATTTGTCCTCTCTTCCATATGTCGGAAAGTACTTTGGCTAAATAATCATCGAGTCTCGTAATATATTTATTTTTTCATTAAAGTATGTCTATATAGATAAATTATATTTTTATGAAAGTACTTTTGGATTCTAACGCCATCTGTGTTTGACTCATATGATATATTAAAAAGTAGAACATTAATTTTTCTTGCCTGGATTTTTTGCTCCATGATAAACAAGGACATTCATTTAAAAAAATGTACAGCAATTGATTATAGAGATGATTAGTTATGATTATGTTTAACAGAAGATCTTACGAGAAAAAGAAATAGAAAATTGCATTTGGTTCTTATTTATTATGCATCATTTCGTTTCCTTGACAGATTCTAACAAATAAGATGATTCATTAATAAATATAAGTGTTGTTTTTCTCGTTTGACACACTTTTTGTTTTGTTTTGAAATTAAATCATCAAATATGGTTGTACATCTTTATCAATGGGGTATTATTTATGATTCTCAGACACAAAAACGAATTAAATGTAATGTACCAATGAAAATGACAACAAATTCACGATCGGAAAGCAATTTAATACAAGTTTCATGTGGCACAAATTACTCACTTGTTCTAGATTCAAATCATCGTGTATTTATTTTAGGTGATGAACCAAAAAATGGTCGACTTGGACAAGGTGATGATAAAACAATAGTACCAACATTAACTTTAGTTAAAGGTCGATTACCTTCAATTGGTTTTATTTCATGTGGACCATCGACAAGTATTTTATTAAGTACTGATGGAAGAGAACTATGGGGTTTTGGAAAAGGTATAGGTTATTCAGTACAACAAATTTTACAATCTAATGAATCTATTACTCATTGTGCATGTAATGAAAATTCCATAATTGTTGTTCTTAATGGTCGTGAAATCATGGAACGACGTTTTAATCGAGATGGTTTTACTACCGAATGGACTTCTATTTATCAACTAAATGATAGTAATGATACAATTCAAAATATAGATATAGGTTCATCTTTAAATGGATTCGTTACTGAACAAGGTCATGTTTATTTATGGGGATCAACTGTACCTATTGGTAAAGTTTCAAAAGAGGAAAATTTTCGTAATGTATCTATTAATGAACCATTACAACGAGATTTACCAAATAATAGTAATGATCGACCTGTACAAATTTCATGTAGTCGTGGACATTTTCATGCTCATGCTTTGCTACTTACTGAACAAGGTTGTATATATTCTATGGGTTCAAATTATAAAGCAAAATTAGGTATTGATGCTGATCAATCATTTACTGGTGAATGGACATTAATTGAATTAACACGAACATGTCCATTTAAAATAATCGCTACTGGCGGAATTCATTCAAGTGCATTATCGGTAGATGGACGTGTTTTTACTTGGGGTTGTGGATCAGATGGACGTTTAGGTCATTCGGAAGCTCAAGGTCATCGATATTTATATAAAGAACATGAACCTAGACCGATTGATGCTTTGGCTACACAACAAGTGATATCAGTTGCGACTTCATATTATCATATGGCAGCTATTGTTTCTCAATGAACAAAATAATATATATATCTATATAAATTATTTTTATAAATGTTTAAGAAAGACTTCATGAATCTAAAGATTTTTAATTGAATTAATATAAAGAATCATCTGAATGTAGAAAAAAAGGATTTTTGAAAAATTTTTTTCGGGCGAGAATTTTTCGTGAAGATTCAATAGAAAATGAACGTCAGGTGTGATTGAGATCTTCCAAACGCTGATTGAAATACCAACTGATCGTGTATCTATGGCACAAAAAAACAAAAAAAAAATTTGAAAAAATAAGAGGGGGGTGCCTTTAATGCACTCTTGAAAATATATCAATTTTTATGTCTTCATTTCTAATTATTTTCTAGTTGACTTAATATAAAAGTCGAAATAAATATGTACCATCCAATAATGTATACAAATCATCGTTCTGTATTTTTCTCTATAACTACGATGTTATTATAGAATAAGATAGACTTCTTCAAATAAACAAGTATGATGACGATATTTTTATTATACCTAAAATAATTCATTTGATTCGTTAAATAATTATTTAAATCAAGTTTTTAATCTAAAAATAGAAAATGAAAAAAAGTACAAATTCAAATTGTCCTTTTTGATATATTGACTTGCACGAACTTAACACGATGATGTGATTTTCTTGTATTTCTCTGTGCATGTATACTGTATTCAACAGAGAAAAAATTTCTTTCAACGAACTTCTTATTTTGAATAGCTATCAGTTTGATCAGCGTAACACGATAACGATAATTTTTGCAATCAATTTTTTTCCATGCTTCATTTTGTTATATGTACACCTCTGTGAAGGCAAGATACTATTTTTATTCTACAGTTAAAATGTGCTTTATTAATTGATTCCCCTGATACAAAAAAAATCAGAACAACAAAAAGCTAGCTTGACTAATATATTTACCAATGTGCGTATAAGATCGAAAAAAACACAAAATATCGAAATCATTCAATATGTAATGATCTTAGTTGTTTGAGGATATTGATATTTATAAAAGTGAAAAAGAAGCTTTAAAAGTCCTTTTGTTTATACAGTTTTTTTTTCATTCTATCAAACCATTAATAAAGCATGAAGAAAAAATATTAATTAAAATTTAAGTTTGCCCCATGTTGAGCATATGTCATAGAAACGATAGAAGGTCTGGATTGGTAATTTCATTTTAATTCAATGTAATCCACTTATTAGATCAATTAACTATATTCTTATGGCAATCTGTTTGTAATTCAATAGAAAATATTTTTTCACAAATATAAAAAACATCATTACGTTTCATAAATTAACTATTACAACGATTTTTGTTCCTGATAAAAATAGATGTATTCGATAGCTCATAAAAACCTCGTTTTCGATATATATATTTTTTGTCAAAACAAATTTACATCAACAAATGGTATACCATACAATCGATACAGCTTTTGACGCTCTTTCGAATGCAATATCATACAACTTTCTCCAATTTTTTTAAAATCAGAAAAATTTACTTTTTATACTTGAGTTATACTAATTAGCGCTAATTTGGAGTAATTGGTAATTGAAATTTTTTTTTCGTGAAGTAATATTTGCAAATGATCCGCTATAAAACTATACAAGAATCAACCGGAAATAACTTTCCTCTGAAAAACCAGAAAACTGCTTCAGAGCCTAAAATCTTTAATGAATTTTAGACTTAATTAATTTATAACTCCGACAATATTAAACTAATAACTTTTCAATTGGACAGGTATACCATTCAAGGTATTCTATACAAACTAACAAAATTTCATCGTATGTTTATAGAGAGACTCCTTCTCCTTAACAGAAAAAAATATGATTTTGTATATTCTATACCATGCTCTACAGAATGACGGTAAGATATTCCAAAAGGATAACTTCAAACGATCAGTCGTTGACGTTGGGCGTTATACACTCTAGCTGATATATACAAAATGAGTGATTGTTTATATTCACATGGTTGACATTAATTTCACCTGTGCGAATAGGTGAAATACTAATTTTTAGATTATAAAAGATTGTAATTTGTAATGTTTCGTAAAGGAACGAAAAAAGAAACAAGTAATGAGTTTGCTGTTATCGACACTGAACAGGATTTTTTTATTTACGAAAAATATATCTTATAAATCATAAATAATTTTTTCGATTGGTACAAACATATTCGACTGTGTTTATACAGCAAGAAAAAAAATCCAATACATTTTATGCTTCCTTTGATTAAAAATAAACGAGTATTGTAGTCATTAGAGCGAATCGTTGTCATACAATCGAAAGCACGTTAATGCAATAAATTTTCGTAATAATCTAAAATGTTATTGTCTACACGTGATGCACAACTCGAAAGACGGTGTTCAAGAATACTTGCATCAGATGCTTTAGCTGAACGATTAACTCTTGCTGGTATTGACAATGCAAGTTTTCAAGGAGATACAACCTCTGAATTCCGTGCTCTTAGTATAATATCTCGAATACGATCAAATTCTGGAATTGAGTCATCACCAACACCTACTCCAGGTACCGGAGAAGCATCAATAAAGGATGCAGAAACAGCAAAGAGTACTACAAAAAAACGATATCATTGGAGGATGACTCATTATTTCTATATTCATATAAGTTTATTTATTCTCAACGGATTTTTTTGTGGTTTAATTATTTGGCTAATTGAAAATCATTCATCATCACGCAATGTTCAAATAGATGTACCATATGTTGATGCATGGTTTGTTGCTAGTTCATGTGTATACAATTGTGGGTTAACAACAATAGATTTTGCAAAACTTTCAAAAGCTTCTCAAAGTAGTCTTATGTTATTCACATTTTTATCAGGTATTACAATTAGTACTTTACCAGCATTAATTGTTAAAGCTCATACACATAAAAATGTCGCAGGAGTAACTGTCGATGATGATCATGGCGAAGTAGAAGATGAAGATATGGATGACTTACCAACATTTAATATACGAAATAGACGACAATTGCCACAACGTATTCGCGATCAGCTAGCATCATTACCAACAGCAGCACAACTTCGTTTTCGTGCTTATATAACATGTATTTTTCTAATTCTTGGTACTTGTTTCACTGTTTATATAATAACATTTGTTGCTATTGGTAGTTGGTTACAAACAAAATATACACCTGAACAATTACAACAAGGAAATTCTAGTATTAATCCATATTATATATCATTTATTGTTACTGTAACAGGTTTTAATCAAAATGGTTTAACACCTTTTTCCGATGGTTTCTCACGTTTTGTTAATGATGTTTATCTGAATTTATTTGTTATGATGGTAAAAAAAATTCATTTTGTGTTATTTTGGTTTAGTTCATTGTGTTTTTTCTCTTGTAGGTTGTTATCAGTGGAACATCACTTTTTCCTTTTTTATTACGTAATGTCGTTATACAAGTACGTCGTCTTGTTCCATGGCGCTATAAAATTGTTTTTGATTATATTCTTATGAATAATCATCGTTTATCGACTCTACTATTTCCTGCTGTACAAACACGTATTTATCTTTCCATTACTGCTCTATTATATATTATGGGTGTTTCTATTTCACTTATACTTGATTTAAATAGTGATAACTTTGCTATGTATTCACCAGGTACACGTTTTCTTATATTTCTTTTTACTACAGTCAATACACGATTTGCTGGTTTTAATACAGTTGATATGAATTCATTTGCAACAGCAACATTGTTAGTATATTTAATGTTAATGGCAACTAAACCACAAATGTTATGTGCTATTGATGAAAGTCCATTTGAATTATCTTGGTTAGCATTACAAGCACGAGAAGAAGTTGATGCTAAAACAAATCCTGGAGCAGGTGGAATTGATACTTCAAATTCACCAATACGATCTCCATCGGGATCTTTTTCATCTGGTACAGGATCAAGTGGTTTACCTATGAGACAAATGGAGCGTTTTTTACGTCGGCAAAGTTTTGTTACTAAAGATCGTGCTCGACAACATTTTGCTAATATTGCGGTAGATGATGGAGAAAGACATAAAACTCGACATTTAAGAGGTATACGTACTCGATTATTTCTTATTTATTTTATCCGAGCTCTTATTAAGCATGCACTTAGTTTTGTTCTTTTAACACGTACTTGGCTATTTTTCTTTATATTTCTGATTTGTGCTATTGAATATCGTCGAATGGCACCTGCTGATCCAAATATAACCGTATTTAAAATTGTTTTCGAAATTATATCAGCATTTGGAGCTGTTGGATTATCACTTGGATATCCAAATGTAGCATCAAGTTTTTCTTCTGTTCTATCACCAGCAAGTAAAACTATACTTATTTTAACAATGTTAATGGGACGACATCGTGGTTTACTTGCATCAATGAAAGATCAAGAGGCGATAGAACATAGTGCAGCTGATTTACTTCAACGAAAACGTGAAGAAATTATTCATGAATATGAACAAAGAAAATCACGTGTTGATATAACTAACGAAGAAGATCCTGAAACGTTATTTACTCGATTTTAAATATTGAACATAGTTTGAATGAACATTATTAAATAGTTGCCTTTTTTTCATAATATATTTCTTAATAAAATATCTTAGATTTTAGAAATCTATTAATAGAATTAATGCGACATTTTTTCAAATAATGAAAGTTAAATATCGTCAAGAATAGTGTAGATGTATTAATCAGAATATGAATAGAATATATAATTGTATTTTTTAGAAATTTATTTACAAAGAAGAATACTGAAAGCTGTTATGAATTCGTAATGAAGGAAGATCAATATAAAATATAAAATATAAAATAGAATCTCGAATAAAACTATCGTTACGTGTATTCGAATACAAAAAATCTGACGCAAATTTATATCTAGATATTTATAAATTACCATGATTTACAAAATCGCGCAAGAACTTTTTTCAGAACTAGCTGGGAAAATATCAGTTTTAATATAATAGTTTCTCAATCTTCAAGTGCGATAGACAGATCATAGATTGAGATAATGTTGGCATCGATCTATACTCATACTCTCAACATGTCTAAAAATAAATAATAGATGAATTTAATGATCTGCAATATATTAATTATCTTTATAGGCATACAACAGATTTCCTAAAGCAGAACTGTAATTATAGAAAAAAACATTAATATTCTTGACTTTTATTTGTAAATTAACTGAGTACATATCAGATGTTTATTTTAAGAAATTTAAAAGTATGAAAACAAGTTTTATGATTGTCGTGAACTGGCATACTTTTTTGAAAAAAAGAAGGAAATGTGAAAGTCAATCTATTTTATAAAATAAAAATGAAGCTGTCGGTTTATTATACCGGAAATTAAAAATCATCGAGCATTTGTCTCTTTTTTTTATACGTCTAGTTTATATAACTATTGAATTAGTCGTTTATTAAAGCATTCATATTATACTGCACATTGAATTTCAGTATGTCAGAATTTATTCTACTCAGTAAAGTCAAGATTTCCTTTTTAATATTCGGTAGAGATCAGAGATGTTACCTATAATAATAAGTAAATGGAAATAGTATGATAGAAAAAAGACTTATTCTACTTCTTTGATCCTTTGCATAGAACAAACAATTCGACTGGCTTTGTCCTAGAAAAACTAAATGAATAGAAGACTATATCTTATATACAATTATTTCTAATTGTATATATAACTACAATGTACGCATTAGTATTAGACTTTGTTATTATGAAACGATAGGTAGAAGAGCAGTATAATATTTGTGCTTTCACAAGAATTGAAATGTAAAGACGGAAAAATATATCAAAGAAGAATTGCATCTTTTGAAGTCTCTACTTAAATATTTACTGAGTAAATTGCTATATTCTTAAGTTCGAGATCTAATGGTACATAATATTAATGATTGATAGAAAAATTCAAGAAATAGAATAAATAAAAAGCTGCTTCGTTCGTTGATGTACTCTAAGTATATTTGATATGGTCATGTATACTTAAAACGAGTTGAATAAATAATAACCCAGTTTTAATTAAATCAAGATTGACAATCATAATTATAAGTACTACTACTTATTTTATTCTATTTACAAAGAGATTGTCATAACAAAAAAAGAAGAAGAATATTCATGGTTCTTCTTAGAATAAACTGAAACGTTTTCTTTGTTTTTGAAAATAATATTACGATCTTAAGTAATTTCTCGAAGAGAAAAACAATAGTTATACAAGGAAAGAATCATTTATGTTATATTAATAATTTGCAAGCAAATTTAGTTTTTTCATGTGACAAACATAAGAGTTTCATGTTACAATATGTTATTAAAATTTTCCATTCATTTCTTTTCTCATCATAACTGCGTCATTTGCATGTTATAATACCACTTTACTGTCACTTTCAATTATTATAAATCATGAGAATTTTTTTCCGATTCCATGAACTAAACCTATAATCAATTAATCGTTATGTATGCAGAATTCATTTCTTTAGATAGTCACATATAATACTCAGGCAAATTAATCATCAGTATTATAGGATTTTGATCGATCAGTTCCATCGTAATACTATTTCTAAAGTACGGAAAAAAAAGACAATTATTTAAATAATTAAAAATGGGTTTCTACTTCAATTCTTTGTCTTCCTTAAAAACTATTCAATAGGAAAAAAATATGTTCTTTAGCTACAACATTTTTTTTCTATAGGATTATTAATTGAACTAAATATTTGATAAGAAATGCTCTCAAATTTATTATATGCGTTATTGTGTAGATGAATAGTACTAATAAACAAAAGGAAGAAAATATAATACTAAGACAGCATGCTATATTTTCTTTATAATACAATTAGAAATATATTTTCTATTTCTCTTGTATTCGCTATTCTTATTCTAATACCATAGGAAGTAATCGTAGTAGAAAATTCTTAGGCGTCTGTTATACACTTTGCCAGATTTCACTTTATTTAAATATTACTGAATTTTGCACGTGTATCTAGTTATTTACTCATTAGGTTAAGAATATAAGAGACCTTTATGGCAGGTACTATTCAAAACAAAGACTATCAAAATGATTATAATAATATATAATTCTATTAATATCCAGCCAGCCGTCGGAATGGAATTAAATTGCTAAACAGTGAAGAGAAAAGCTGAGAATTGGTAAACAATCGAATAATTGTTTTTTTTTCTCTTATGAGAAAAGACGAGTCAGTGTATTAGTTGTCATGAGATATATCCTATATTGATATACTTGATGAACTGATCTCATAAATTACACAAGAGAGAGAGAGAAACATGCAAAACTTTGATGTTTTCTTCTTATGATCTTATGAAATAACTAGTTTTTATCCAGACTGGTGTGAATTGAATTTCCGTTTGTAATTTAACGTTAACTAAGAAAATTATTCTATAAAAATAATATTTTCATTATGTCTTTCATATGTGAATGAATCGACAAGCTGACACGATATAAAAATGTAAGATTTCATCAATAAAATCATACATAATTAAATCATAAGTCTATTTTGGAAACTTTGATATTGTTTTTTTTGCTATCAAAAGCATATCTAATTTTATATATGATTAATCGACAATTCTTTCTGTTTAAATAAGAATCTTGAAAGAAAATGGTACTTTTCATTAAAAAAATATATCGCATTCTAAATGAATAGAAATAGAGAAAAAGACTAGACAAAAAAACTATATAATAAAAAAAATATCTTTTTCTCATATTTTCTCTTTTCTGTTTGCCATTCTATTAGACGAGTATGCATGTTGTCTCGCGAGAGAGGAATTTAGACGACTAGGAGAAGTAATGCTATAGAATTTATTTACGACCATGATATTTTTCTATAAGTATCAGCAGATGACTTTGCTGAAATAATATGGTATATGTCTTTGTTTAAGACAAACTATTCTCATGTCATAAGATAATATTATTAAAGGTGAGATTGATTATAAATGGAAGTGATGCGAAATGAAGTGCATATTTATTAAGATTAAGATTGATGATATACTATGCTACGATAGTTTCAAAATAATTATACGCACTGACAGCCTTCTGACCTATTAGTTTATTTTATTTGACTTGTTGTTCATATATGAGAGAAGACGAGTAGAATTAAGACTTATTATATTATTGTAATAAATTTCGTAATTTGATAGATGATATTTTCAAAGAAAATAGTAGTCTATTCTTATTCCTATCAATTATGAGTAGCACGCTTATTAAATATATTACTACTCCATATATTTCCACTTTCTTTTTGCCCATGTCATATTTTGCCGGTCGAATCTAAAATTAGTTTATAATTGTTTATTGCTTAGTAGCAATATCATTTTCTCAATTTCTCTTTTTTTTTCTTGTAGAAAAAACGAGCAACTTCATATAACCACTTAAACAATTTGAAAAAAAAATACGAAGTTGCTTTCTATTACGATGGAAACAAATTTAACAGAATCAGAAATATCAATATCAATAACAAATACAAATTTATTAAATAAATATATGCGTTTAACCAATCTTACTTTTTCATGTACTGGTGTTATAAGTAATTTTATTCTATTAATTATACTTTTATTACTTGGTCGTCATCAATGTACAACCTATTTTATCTTAATAATAATGACTATATGTGATCTTCTCTATTGTATAGTATATACGAGTATCTTATTAACTATTGATTATTATCTCAATATAATAAATCATCAAATTTTATGTCCTCTATCATTCTTTTTAACACCATTTACATTTACGGGATCGACATTATTATTATTTATTTGTCTATTACATTTGATAACGGATTATGTACGTCGATATGATACTGTTTTAGGACAAATAGGTGGACGTTTATCTGTTGTATTTATTTTTGCATTTATTATTATTCGAAGTGTTCTTGGTTCAACATCAATTGAATTAATATCTGATTCATCAATGTCTCATATTCAACATTGTACTATTGATATAAATACATCAGACCTTGTTTCACGTGTACAAAAAATCAATCATATATTTGCTGAAGTAACTGATATACTTGTTTATTTTGGTTGGATTATTATGGTCTTCATGTATTTCATATCTGTATTTCGATATAAAAATTCTTTAAAAAAAACTCATAGAGAAACAAATCATTTACCAAATCCATTTGTTTCTGTTCTTATGATAAGAAAAGGTCAACAAGAAAATCAAGAACGATTAACAAATAAACAACGACATAATGATATATCATTAATTATTTTATCAATAAGTTGTATGTCAATTCCATTTTATTTACCTGTTATGATAAATAAATTTACAACCATGGATCTTATTTATCGTAATAAAACATTTTTAACTGATTCACAAATATATTTTCTACAAAGTATTCAACAAACAACACATTTATTTTGTTTAACAATAAGATTTATTCCGTATTTTATATTTGATAAACGTATACGTTCATTTCTTCATCGAATGATTGGAATGAAAATTGAAAGAAAAAAATCATCGAAGAAAAAAGGAAAATATATACAAAAATATATTTGTCGTTGTCAATGTTCTCGTCGACAACAATCGTTAGAATTAAATCAAAATCCATATGAGCATAAACAAATTGAAATTTAATTATTTACAGATAAAAAAAAACAAACGAATGTTTTTTCTTTCGTAACAAAAATATAACAAGTATTTTGAAGAAATTATTATCAATAATGTGCACTAAAGAACAAAACAAAGTATAGCATGTATATGTGGTTGACATTCCGTAAGATGAAGCAATATATTCTAATTATTTCGTTACTTGATATTTACTCTTATAGAAAATTCTATATGGGATTAAATTTGTTGATTTAAGACAAAGACTTAATGAAATAAAATCGAGTTATTTTCTAGATCTTCAGCTATAGTTTTCATTTTTTTTTATAATTTTCTTTTCAACAAAATAGATAGCATTATCTGACGACATACGTTGAGTATTGTTTTTTTGTTGTTCAAAACATCTAACAGAGAATATATCTGGTTAATTAAATATGTTATTATAGAAAAATGTCATCTTTTCAACTTTTATCATAATGATAGGGATATACTTCCGACTGTGACAGCACAGTATATTTTTTTTTCATGTTAATAATACACCACAGAAGACTTGTTAATTTACATGAATTTTTTTTACTATGAAACGTCTAATATTGTTGTTGATTTTTATTATATTAGATATAAGACTTTAGTTTTTTTTTCATTGAATTTAATAAATATATCTTATTGATTCATCAATTTAAAATTTATATAATTTTTTATGTTATTCTTATATTTTCTTCAATGTTTTATCAATAGAAAACTATATTTTTATTTCAAATAATAAATTGACATTATATTTCACAGATGAATAAATTTTTATGAGAAAAGAAAACACATTCTAAGGACTTTTTAAACGACATCACTTTTCTTTCTGTAGGCATTTCTTTATATTAATAAAATCTTCCGTCTGATTCATTATTTCTTTTTATAGACATACCATCTTTCATGTAGACTACGGTAACATAGGTTATCATGGGAAATCAACAGAATTCGAGGTTGAACCAAAGTGAAATTTTCATGTAGCACAAGACTTTATTTTTTTCCAGGTTTTCGTATTAGTATATTAATAGATTGTTTTTCTTCCGAAATTTAATGAATTGGGAATAAAGAGTGTGAAATCTTGCTTGAGATCATCTAGTTAAGCTATTTTTATATTTCTTGATATAATGAATGTTATTTCAATGATATTAAAAATAAAAGATTGAAGATAATATTAAGATGAAGAAAAATACAATGATGAACAGATAAATTTCAAATGATTTATTATTATCTCAATGAATCTACTGATGTATACCGAAGTTCAAAGTTTAGTTGTTATTACCGAATGTACTGGAGAATTTCTGTATGAGAATGGGTTGTATAATTGCTTATAAAATATTCAACATGAATATATTTTGATGAAGACACGAACAATGTACCGGAAGAAAGAAAAGATAATCTCTTTGCCTACGTTAGTACCTACGAAAGAGAAGAATTTCCAGGTTATATGACCTTGTTTTAACTAACACTTTCAAGTCAAATATTAATTTTATAGAAGAAAAAGTTCAAAGGATACGATAATACTTTATTACATCCTACACTTCTTCCTATTACACGCATAAATAATTGATGTAAATCTATATTCATTGAGTTAATTAACATATAAAAACGTATAAATTGTTAATCGAGATAAACATAAGTTATAGCCTTTCTTTGATTACAATTTCGTAGTTTGAAAATAATAATTATGTAGAAAAAAAAATATTGTTTCTTGTTTGATTTATTTAGTTACATGATACTTCAATTATGACTTAATTGTTTTAAGAATATTGTGTAAATATTTAACCCAATATGCATCAGATAACGGAGTATGCAACACAAGTGTATATCTGCCAGTATAGATTTTATATTAATTTAAGGGAATATGTTGTGCGGTCAGTAGAGCCCATCGGGTCCGGATAAAAAGAAATATATTATCAACATAATATTTTTAGACTACTCGGTAAACGTGAGAATGCCATTTTGGATTTGAAAACTGGTTAATAGGTCTTCAGAAAACCAAATCAAAGACCATTTTTTTTTGCTTTTCAGTTTTGATTTGTGGATAGTTAAGACTAAAAATTTTTCTAAAGGTACAGTTCGAGTTCAGACTAGTGCTGGTCGAAATCGGGTCTAACGCGGACCCGCAACGGATCCGGGTCCGGGTCCAAAAAAACGTGGACCCAATCGGCTCTAGCGGTCTGTAAAATAATTGAAATATCAGTAAATATATTAATTGTTCTGTAAATATTTTGATTGGTCAGTTTTCAAAAAAATCAGTAAACAATTCAAAAGTCGTCAGTACATTTTGTGGAAGTAGCAGTGAAAAAATATGATTTTTGTCAGTAAAAAAACGAAAAGTAGACCATCTTTGCACCAATTTATATTTTGTTACTTTCCATTCCATTTTATTTATTGATCGTTTAAATTTTATTATGGACCTATCAAATTAATTACTGACCATTTCAATAATTCACTGATCAATCATTACTTTACTGACCGTTTTATTTATTCTACTGACCACTTAAATGACACCCTTAATTTAATACAGAAATACTTGATAATAATAAATGTTTAACAAGTAAAATAAAGTTTTCAATAGTGTTCATTACAAAAAATAGTTTATTATATTATTCAGTAGATCTTTTTTATGACTTCATCTGTTGATTCTACTATTTTTAGATCTTATTTCGAAAATAAAGATCGATATCAGTTTCATTCATTGTTTGAATAGATTTATCTTTACAATGAATGAGAATATAGGTAATAGAATCAATATACTTATCTAACTAGATACTTTAGTAAAACAAAACTTTATTTCCATTTGTTAATAAAATATAAATAATTTCACTGGTGTTGTTTTGTTTTTTTTTATCGTTTATTCTTATTTTATTTATCAAAACGTTGTTATATTTGTTTTTAACAATAAATAATGATGATTACATTTATTTCGATTTTTTTTGTTTGATTTTTTTCATATAAAAATCAAGTTCTTTGCCTTCAAGTACATAACCATCACAACGACCATTTTGACCAGGTTTTGAAGAAATACAAGCAAGTACACGACCAGCTACGAATTGTTCTTCAAGTCCTTGTTCAACTTTAGCGCGACGTTGTTTAACAGCTATTTTTTTTTGACTTTTAGCTGATCGTTTACGATTAAGTACACCTTCTTCAGCTTCAGTTAATTTTACACCTTTCTTACGACCAAGTGGTAAAGCATAATGTGATTCATACCATTGACGAAATGGAACAGCATCAATTTGTACAATGGTTGATTTTGTTAATGTTTTTGTACGTACTAATTCCTAAATTAAAAAATGATTAATTAAACAAAATGAATAAGTATTCTTTTAATTAAATACGAACATTATTTGATGGATGATACATAACATCGATAACACGTGTCTTTTTAGCGATACCTTCTGAACCCCAAGAAAAATTACCAATATCAAGACGTAAAGCTCGATATTTTTTATTTCCACCTCGTGTTCGTACAGTGTGAATACGTTTGGCACCTAATTTGGTCATAGCAGCTGGTCGACCTAATTCGAATTTTCGTTTTTTATGTGGTTGAGGTCGTTTACCACCAGTTTTCCGGCGTTTATGCCAATGATCTCGACTAATACCCATCTTTTTTTACGAGGATGGTTCAATAAAAATAATCTAAAACGTTTTTCGAAATGTATTTTTCATGTAAATATAAATATATGTAAAAAAAAAATATATAATCATTTGAAGAATCCATTTTTAGTAGTATGAATAACTAACCACTGAAAAATATATACAAGGAGGACAAATAAAAATAAATAAATAATTTTTTTAATAAAATTTTATGAGAAAGTTTAACTTAGATATGTATTTATCAAGATTATTTTAATAAAAAAAGATATTTTTTATAGTTTTATTTTTAATGCGACCTCTAACGAAATAACAATCTTTGGTTTATGATTAACCAATAGAATTCTTCATAAAAAAAAATATATTCATTTATTTATTATCTTATAAAAGAAACATTAATATGTATAAATATTTCTCGAAGAAACTGTATTACTAGTAAAGCAAATAATTCAGCTCTGGAAATAAATTTTTCAAAGTTTACCTTATTCAGGACAGTTTGAATAAATTCTCTATATGATGTACACCAAATCAATAATATAGGATCGCCGTTGATAATAATAAACATATTAAGTTAATCGATCCGATTGATAGAATAGGGTATATTTTTTCATTTATTTGTTTCTAGATGGCAAAAAGTAAAAGAAGTAAACATATGCGCGCAATGCGCAAACTCCTTCGTGAAAAATTATCAAAAAAAGATGAAGTTAAACGATTAGCATCAATGAAAAAAGATAATCTAATTCGTAAATGAAATTTTTTTGTTCCATTAAAATAATTTATTTTTTCTTTCTTAGCATCGACTGTACCAATAAAAGAATCACCGATTAATGATGGTAATTTGAATTAAATATAAAGATATATTTTTATTTCGTTTATAAAGATATGCAAGTTGGTGGTAGTGGTGCTCCAGCAGAATTCAATAGTCGAACATTGAGAAATAAAGATGGCCAATTTCCATCATGGTTAAGTGGTCGTCAACGAAAACGTTTAACAGCTAAACAAGCCATTGTCAAAAGAAACGAAAAACAGAAAAAAGTTAAAAAGAATCCTGGTAAAATTACTAAACGAAAAAATCAACAAAAGAATAAAGTTTCAGATAATTCTGAATCCATGTTAACTTAATTCATTGTTTTGTTAATAAAAGAAAAGAAAATATGCTGATAAATGTTATCTACATTTTTTTTTAATTATTATTATTTGTTTCAACTTGATTTTCTTACATAACAAGATGACTACTACTACTGAATAATTTAAAAGTAAAAATCCGTTGTTTTCGAATATTGACCTAAATCGATATTAGCAGTCATATTTTAATAGACACGAATAATTCTAGCATAATAGTATCAGCTATGTTCAATGCAGTGATAAATGTAAGTAGATAAAAAAAGCGATAAAATGAAGAAGACCAGTTTTTCTATCTTTATTTGATCGGTAAAACGCGTACTAGACTTAAAATACGGTTGTACGTCCCAATGACTTGGAACTGGTTATAGATAAGTAATAATATTATATATATCATAGTTGTTTATTCTGTTGTTTTTTGTTCTTTTATTAAAATAATGAATCATATTTCTTTGTAGATTTTATTTATTTATTTTTCTTTAAATCAATAATCATATTTCGACAAATATTTCGTCGAATCATTACTTCAGCTAATGGTTCTGGCGATAATGCTGTTGCTGATAAAATCAAACAATTAATTACCGATCATCAAGTGATTGTATTTTCTAAAACTTTTTGTATGTTTTTTATCTATTTAAAAAAAACGAGATTTATTTTATATTTATAGGTCCATATTGTGTCAAAGCAAAAAATGTTCTTAATAAATATAAATTAAAAGATTATAAAGTTATCGAACTTGATGAAATTGATAATGGAAATGAATATCAAAATATTCTAGGAAAAATTACTGATGCTAAATCAGTACCACGTGTATTTATTGCTGGAGAATGTATTGGTGGCGGTGATGATACAGAAAGATTAGATAGAAATGGTGATTTAGAAAAACGATTAAAAAAAATTAATGCTATTGACAATTAAAATCTATTAGAATTTAAATATTTAGTCAAGCATATTTTTGTTTTATAATACTTTCTTGTCTAATCATTAAAAAATAATTTTAGATAATGACTGCAACAAATAGTGATAAAGAAAAAGATCTTGAAAAACTTTTCAAGATTATTCATAATGTTAAATATGCTATGTTAACAACAGTTAATGAAGATGGTACACTTCACAGTCGGTAATGAAATTTATTTTTATAATAAAAAGAAAAAAATTGAATTTTTATCTCTTAGACCAATGATTAATAAACAAGCTGATTCATTCCATGGTGAACTTTGGTTTTTTACTCAACGAAGTGGTAAATCATTTTTATAAGAAATTCGTAATAATTAAATGTCATTTTTTCAGCACATAAGGTTACTGAAGTGAAAAAAGGTTCCGAAGAAGTAAATGTATCATATGCTGATCCAGAAAATCAATCATGTTTGTATTTTATTCTATTATTTGTAATCAAAAAACATTTATTTCTTTAAAAGATGTATCAATTAGTGGTCGAGCAGATTTAGTTGATGATCATACTAAAAAGAAAGATTTATGGAGTGATACTTTAAAAGTTTGGTACACTAAATTTGATAGAAATAAATTTTCCATATATATAGTTTTGTTCTTTCTCTAGGTTTCCAAAAGGTCTTGATGATCCTGATGTAACATTACTTCGGTATGGAAATAAATATATTAGTTTTTAAATATATCTGAAATTTTTCTAGTATTACAATTATCGAAGCTGAATATTGGGATTCATCAACAACTGTTATGCAAAAATTATATGGATTAGCTAAAGCATCAATCTTAGGTGATCATACAGCATTAGCTGGCGAAAATAAAAAACTCGTCTTAAATTAAAGCAATACATTTCTTTTTCATTCTATTCAAGCAAATATTTTAGAATTAATGTTGTCAGTTTATAAAAAAAATTCTAATCAAGCATTTCAATCATTTTTTAATCGAATAAAATTCTAATAATAAATAAATATTGTTATTTTTCCATGATAAAAGATGTATTCAAGATTATTTGGTACTTCCTGTATTCTAATATAATTGTCGGCACGATAGTTTATGTTCTAAAATAGAATTGTCTCGTATATAAGTTGAATAAGAAAGTATCTTATTTATTCTACCCATAGGCTTACAAACAATAATATATAACGTGACCAGAAATGAAACATTTTGTAAATTTACAGATAAAGTCAAGTCATATATTCATCTATTTTAAGTCCAGACGAGAGAACGGTTAATATTTCAAACTAATCAACATAAAACTGTTTTATATATAGTACATGATAATAGATTTATTATTGATACCAAGACAGCTCTATGATAGCAAAAAGGAAATTTTGAATAGTGTAGATACATTATTTGACTTTAATTTTCTAGACATCTTTTAATGTCATAAGAAGATTGTTTATTTTTCGAAACCATAAGTCATTTATTAGTAATTGATGTGTAATTGAATTCAAGCAATTAATAATATAGGAGATCGAAATATGAATTTAATTTTTTCTTTCGCCCACTAGGAACTAGTTTTCATAATGATCAACTTTCGTAATTTAAATTAATCTCTAATGAAGTAGATATACCAAAACATACAATCTATAAATGCAATTAAATTAGTAAGACAACCCCTTCCGACAACTCATGAGGGTTTCTTTCACATGATAATGAGTATGATGATTGTTCATCATTGATAGCGAATGGAACAGCAGAAGAGAGAGAGAGAGAATAGTTTTCTTTTTGAGCATTCCTATACCGAAAAAAATACATCCTACGCATATTGATCCGTTTTTTCTTCTCATCTCATGTTGAGATATTTTTTATAAATACAACGTTATAACTCAAACTATATTCATTTTATCGTCTATCTAGAATAAACAACACATCAACATGCAATCCACATTCATTGTCCGAATCACTATGGCCATGTGCCTCATCTTTTTATTGTTCACTGCTGTTCTCTCTGCACCCAGTGTAAGTATTACTTTCTACTAATCTTACAATTATGATTAAATATATTCTTTTATTTCTAGTCATCCGACTCAAAAACAGAGTAAGATCATTATATTTTCATTTTCAAAAAACCATATAATAATATATTTAGATCCAATGCACGAGTAGCTCGCTCAGCATATAGTGAATCTGAAGATGATCTTATGAATTATTGTCAACATTTCTGTTTTAATAATGCATTTACAAAAAGGTAAACACACAAGTTCTTATTTAAACAATTCATATATTATTTTTACAATGTATATTTTTAGAGCTGCATTGAAAGGTTTTGTTCATGGCCGATCAATCAATGATGATAGTGAAATGCAAGATATCAGCGACGATCTTCTTGAAAAACGTTTCGTACATGGCAAACGTTTTGTTCATGGTTAAACATCCTTTTAAATAATTCTTTTTTCAATTCAAATGGAAAAAAAAAACCAAAAACATTTTATTCATATGCGTGTCATTCTAATTGAAAAAAAATTCTTTTAATAAAAAAAAAATTCAATATGATCATCACTGACATCTTATGGAAAAAAGTTTATATTTCTTGTTCGTTTCCTTTGACAACGATTGCGAAAAGAAAGAGAAAAAAAAGGCAGCAGACTTTGAGACGACTTATCGTCTTAATTCTATCAATAATGTCGAAAGCATATTCTCAATATAAAATAAATAATCAAACAATTTTACATGAACATATTGATGAGAATTATGAACCAACAGAAGATGAAATTCATGAATATGCGACATATATTGGAATTGATCCAGATAAAGTAAATAAATAGAGGAATACTATTGAATAAAAGATGAATTTTGATTAGGAACTAGATCTTCTTTGGTTAGCGAAAGAAGGTCTTATGAAACCATTACCATCTGGTTGGAAAGCATGTCAAGAAGAAAATGGAGAATTGTATTATTTTAATTTCGATACTGGTAAATCATCATGGGATCATCCATATGATGAAATTTATAAAACACGTGTTAGTCAAGCACGGTAGGAATGAAGTTTTTATTATATTCATACGAGTAAAACATTTCTAGAGAAAAGAAATCTTTAGCAACAATCATAATTGATACACATTCAAAAGGTAAATTTTTTCTGTGTACCAAAAAGAAAAAGGAAAACATCGATTTTTAAAATAGGAAAAAATACGTTAAGTATAAGTGACTTATCAAGTGAAAAGAACTTATATAATGTACAAATGAGTGGAAAGAATGAAACAGGAGATAATCATTGCGGTAAGAAAATATTATTGAAAAGAAAGTGATATTAAAAATTCATTTTTCGTAGATTCTCAAGGTATGAACAGTGGTTCAGATGTGGAATTAGATAATAGTGAAAATGATAATGGACATAGTAGTAATGGCTTTCAAAAAGACGTCGATTTTGGTAAATAATTTTTTCGTTTATATAAATACACTACAAAAGAATGAGAGTGAATTCAAACACTTATGATACAGATAAGAGATCTAAGAATGTATAATATTACACTTGAAAGTTCTGCTGAAATAAAATGTGTTCTTGACAAATATTTAACTCGATAGAACTATTTTACAAGAAAAAAAGGATCATGTGTATTAATATTAGGTATTGATCCTCAATTATCAGCACGTATACATGAAGATGAAAACGAACCATTAGCAGTTGTTGCTACATCTCATCCAATGTCTTCCACTGATCCTATAGGTATATGAACATTTTTTTTCATGTCATACATTAAATTGAAATATCTGATTGTATTTTATAGAAGATAATGAACGAGTAAAATTTGCTAATTTAGCTGCACAAGCTGCTGAACGTCGTTTAAGTGCAAATAAACTTACAAATGATGTAAAATTTGATTTATTAGATAATAATCATATTTGTTTTCTTTTTACTCAGGAACCTATTCTAATTACACCACGTGAAGATATTGAACTTACTAAGCTTCGAAAACGACTTGAACAGTATAGCAATTCTTAGCTCTGATTTTATCTGATGAAACGTTTTTTCATTTATTAAGATCTGCAAATGAAGAAAAATTACAATTACTTGAAGATAATCGAATTTATATTGAGAAACTAAAAACAGAATTACAATTAACAAAAGAACAAGAAGAACGAACATTACGTGATAAAATGAAATCTGATTTAACGTATGAAAAAAACAATTTTACATTTTCATTACTTGATTTTCTTTATTTTGTTAGTTCAATTGAAAAAAATCTTCAAGAAAATTTATCTCGTGAAAAAAAATTACTTATGACACGTCAACAAAATGAATTGAATACTATGAAACAAAATATTGAAAAAGAAAAACAAGAATTACAAAAGAAATTAAGGTATCAAAAAAAGACATATGATTCGTTTATTTAAAATAATAAATATTAATTTCATCTAGAGCTGATATGTTATCAGATTTAAATCTTGAACAACAAGATAATGTAAATATGCAAATACGTTTATTACAAATAAAACATGAATTTGAAGAGGTTTAATTAATTTCGAATAAGAAATTATTAATACTCGTATTTATCATATTTAGAAACTACGCAATGCAGAAAATCGATATAAAAGTGAAATTGAAGATTTAACACGACGTTTTGAAAAGGCCAAGATTGATAAAGATACATTGGACAAACGTTTAAAAGAGGTAATTATTTGATATTCTTCCCGAGCTCAAACGAGTGCTTGTACTTGAAAAAATGTACTTGTATTTAAACTTGCCTTTTCATAAGTATACTTAATATTGAAGTGAACTACTTCTGATAGATTTTACAAGACTATCGTAATATGGGATAATGATGACAACTTTTTTCGAATAGAACACAGATAACTAAAAAATTTATTTATAGAAGAATGATTTTTGTTCGACGATGCAACGAACAATGGAACAATTACGTGGAGAGAAATTATCATTAGAACGAAAGTTACAAGATACTGAAGCAGAATTAAAAACAATTGATAGTAGTCAGCGACAAGTACAATCATCTCATACACGTAAATCATCAACTAAACATACTGATAATGATGATGATAATTCTCTTCTCGATCAAACTTTTAGTAATAATAAAAATACTTTTCTTAATAATAATGATAATGATGATGATGACGGATTAAGTGATACGGATAGTGATATTATCGAAATGCAACAAACATTAACTGCACTTAAACATATGTCATTTCTTCCAACACCTAATATTTCCATGAATAATAATAAAAAGAATGAAAAAATAAATAAAAAATCTACAACAATTGATTTCGTTAACAATGATATTAGTCCAATTTTACGAAATATTCCATTTGAAAGAACATTAAATTCATCATTAATTGATTCTGGACGATGGTCAAATACGATGCCATCAAATATTGGTAATAATACATATCCATTAGGAATACAAACTATGCAACAACATCAACCATCCGTATCGAAAAATAATTATTGGCAATCACAACCAAGTTTAATTACAAGAGAAGCTGTTTTAAAAGCTGCACGTGATGTACTTCCACCTGGTGTTATTGATCATTTAACATCAACAAATTAATTAGTGCAAAATATTATCAATAAACTTATACAAAAAAACGAATGTTTTTTCATTTTATAGTTCGATTTAGTTAACCCGGTTTTATATTATATTATATATTTGAGAAAGATAACCATTAGATTAAACCATATGCTAGATTGTTTATTCTTTTTATTTTTATTTTTTACACTATAAGAAGCATTTTTATTGTATTTTTTTTTTCTGCAGTGATTTATCCAGCTTATTTAGTTAACTTTAGTTATATAGATAATGTAAAGAGTCACGTTTTATTGTTCAATAACAGTATGATAAAATAAAATATTAATTTTAATACTAGAACACTATTATTTTCTGTATGAAAAAAGAAATCTTCATTCAAAACGTTAATATAAATGTGCGACCTCTTTTATGTGTGATACACATCCATGCACTACGACGTTGACAGTAGCCATTATTGTTTCCTCTTTGATTGCAACGTTGCGTTAATCTTACTTTGGTATTTATTGGAAAGAGAATAGATTCGTGTCTGTATAGAGTATAACTACTAAACGATCGGTAGTTGATTTTCTTATTTTTATTTTTGGACAATCATTAGAACCAAGTAGAAATCTTATAGAAAGATGGGTATCAAATTTCTTGAATTCGTCAAGCCATTCTGTGCGCTCATACCGGAAATTCAAAAACCTGAACGTAAAATTCAATTCCGTGAAAAAGTTTTATGGACCGCTATAACATTATTTATATTTTTGGTATGTTGTCAAATTCCACTTTTTGGTATCATGTCATCAGATTCAGCTGATCCATTTTATTGGTAAGTAATAGAGAGAGAAAAAAAAGAGAAAAACAAGTAAAATTTTATATATCTAGGATTCGAGTTATTCTTGCATCAAATCGTGGTACCTTGATGGAATTAGGTATTTCACCAATCGTTACATCAGGTCTTATCATGCAATTATTAGCCGGTGCAAAAATAATTGAAGTCGGTGATACACCCAAAGATCGTGCACTTTTTAATGGTGCACAAAAACTCTTTGGTATGGTTATTACTATTGGACAAGCAATTGTTTATGTTATGACTGGCATGTAAGTTAAAATAATAATAATAATAGTAAATTATTTAAATTATAAAATAAATTTAGGTATGGTGTTCCATCAGAAATGGGTGCTGGTGTTTGTCTTTTAATTATTATTCAATTATTTGTTGCTGGTCTTATTGTTTTATTACTTGATGAATTACTTCAAAAAGGTTATGGTCTTGGTTCTGGTATATCATTATTTATTGCAACAAATATTTGTGAAACAATTGTTTGGAAAGCGTTTAGTCCAGCAACAATCAATACTGGTCGTGGTACTGAATTTGAAGGTGGTATTATTGCATTATTTCATTTATTAGCAACACGAACTGATAAAGTTCGAGCATTACGCGAAGCATTTTATCGTCAAAATTTACCTAATTTAATGAATTTACTTGCAACAGTACTTGTCTTTGCTATTGTTATTTACTTTCAAGTATGATTTCTTATTTGTTTGTTTTTCAAAATAATTATATTTAAATTTTCTAGGGTTTCCGTGTTGATCTCCCAATCAAATCAGCTCGTTATCGTGGTCAAACATCATCATACCCAATTAAATTATTCTATACATCAAACATTCCAATTATTCTTCAATCGGCACTTGTTTCAAATTTATACGTTATATCACAAATGTTAGCAACAAAATTCTCCGGAAATTTTCTTATTAACTTATTAGGTGTTTGGGCTGATAATGGTCCACAACGTTCATATCCTATCGGTGGTTTATGTTACTATTTATCACCACCAGAATCATTTCAATCTATGTTAACAGATCCTATCCATTTTATACTTTATATTATATTTATGCTTGGTTCATGTGCATTTTTCTCTAAAACATGGATTGATATATCAGGTTCAAGTGCAAAAGATGTTGCTAAACAATTAAAAGAACAACAAATGTAAGTTGATTAAGATTCGTAGATAGATAATTATTTATTTGATTTATTTGAATAGGGTTATGCATGGCCATCGTGAAAAATCAATGATTCATGAACTTAATCGATATATACCAACAGCTGCTGCTTTTGGTGGTTTATGTATCGGTGCATTATCAGTTTTAGCCGATTTACTTGGTGCAATTGGTTCGGGTACTGGTATTTTATTGGCTGTTACAATTATTTACCAATACTTTGAAATCTTTGTCAAAGAACAGAATGAACTCGGTGGTATGGGCACACTTCTATTCTAAGATACAATCTTTTTTGTTTTCATTCTTGTCGGTATATTCATTGTTTTTTTTTCTTCTCTTATTTATGTTGTATTTGTTTTGTATGTGTGTATGCTATTTTACCAAAAGAGAGATGGAGATTATATAAACGGCTTTTCTGTTTTTATTTAACGATGGAATGAGATGTAAAAAGAACATTTCGACTTGTTTTTGAGATGATACGATGAAGTAACGTAGTTTCTAGTTAGTATTCGTTTTTTTCTTTTTCAATGTTCTCTCTCTCTCTCTCTCTCTCTCTTTCTCGTTTCTTGTTATTGTTATATCGTTGTTGTTTTTACTTTAAACTGAACTGTTTTGTGACAATATGATACCTGAAAAGAGAAACGATATATCAGAAAACAAAACGGCATAATATATTATTGATTATTTAAACTAATTTCTTATTGTCTTTTATCTTTGATAACAATGATGTCACACAATTCATCAATTTTTGGTTTTATATAAGTTTTTACTAAAAGGAAAAAATATATTTTAGAAGATCTGTGAAGAATAAATCAATTTATTAAGGAGTAGAATTATATCACGCTTATGAATATTTAACTGAAAGCTTTTTTAGCAGAATCAATTGAAAATAATCTTGTATGTTTTTGTAAAACATGAAAGCACACCTCATATAATAATAATAAAATCGTTATTTTATTGTGATTAAGTATTCTGTTATATTCTTCATAACGGTGTATTATTTTTAACATTTACAATATCCAGTACCTTATCCACATTAAAAATATATTCGCTCGCTTTCTCTCACTTAACTCTCGGTAAAATAGCGGACTTCAAGATTTCGAATACTTCGATAGATTTCTCAAGACTTTTAGAAACTTCATAAAACTTCCGATGACTCCGTGAAATTTTGGAAACTAAATAAAATTTCTACTATCGATGGGTATGGGTGTGAATTGGGAACACAGATACTCACACTCTCAGTCATGTCCACCCACATAGAGAACAAGCTTAGCAAAAAAACCCTAGTTAAAAGATATTAATTCGAATATGTTCATTTATTACTTTAAAAAATAGTTCATAATTCATAATACAAATATAAAATTAAAGCAAAAACCAGTTTATTTGTATTCATTGTTTTATTAAATGATGAATCCGATGATGAATCTAATTCATCATCGATGACCACGGAATTGGATGCTGTGCTAGTCCCATGTTGATGATGACATCATCATCATCATTATTATTGATTACCATTGGATCGGCTGCTGTGTTGATTCTATCTTATTGATGTTGATGGGTGTGGGTGGGTATGAGTGTAGGTGTGGATATTAGTTAGAGATCGCACCCACACCCACACACTAACCATTGATTTTTAAGTCGATATACTTTTAATTTTTGATCTCTGACCCGACGACAAGATCGCCCACATACTCGTTTTAGTTTTTTCCATATGATCCTTCCTTTAGTGGAGAGAATAATTATCTATTATTGATTGATATGTGATTTTATTTGTAGTATTGAATGCTAAACTTTGATGTAGATATTTGAATAGTATCGAGGTGTCAGCTAGGAATAAAATTTACAAAGACTGAAATATTTAATAACTATTCATTTATTGGTTTATTTGTAAAAACATGAATACTTTTTGTCAAAATAGCAGCACAAGCGTGAAAATGAAACAATCGAAATGCAAATGACCATAAACGTTTATTTTATTTAGAGATATTGAAAAAGGTAGACATGATCAACTAAATATTGGATAAACAAATCCGGAAATGAAAGCACTAACATGACAGTTCAAGAAATTATTGGTCTAATTGATCAAATGTTCAATTCATAAAAAAAAGATGAGCCATGGCACCAATGAAGATTATGAAGCATAATATTGAGAAAAAATAGAATAGAAAACTATATGCTGTATGGTAGAACGAATTTGGAATCAATATATCATCGACAGATACTTCACGCTCATAAATAAAATACATGTCATAATTATATTTTGTCTTATATGAATCTAACATGATTAGTCCATTTGTATATGGTACTGCTTTAGCAATAATAGATATTGACTTAGGTTTAATGATCGAAAACTTAATCAATATATCACCAACAACACATTCATCGTTTTTTGAGAAACCAACCAAATGACGTTGTTCTAAATATTCTACAAGTAATAAAATATTTTCTGGCTCTAATAACTTTTACGATATATTTTCAGGTGGAGTAAGTTGATTAAAGTTAATATTTCTAGAAACATTAAGGAATGATAAAGTTTCATGAAAATGCTCATATCAAAATAGAAACACGAGTTGATAGCGTCAGATGTGTCTTTTCAGAATATGTAGGACTTATATCGATTTCGAAGCCTTTTATGAATAGTTCAAGAGTTCTTTCTGAATTCGTCCAATGTCCCATTAAAAGAACTAGGAGAAGCTTAAAATAAAAAAAATCGTAAACTTCTCAAAAAAGTACCAAAACGTTGAGGGTGAATGTGGGTGTCGATATTGTATTCATTTCACATCCACGCCCACATCCTACAATACTCTATAATGATGTCAAAGCAAGATTATGCTACAGCCAAAAGTTGATCAGTACTATTTTTCTGTTCGATACTCGAGGTTAAATAACTTTCGATAAGCATGAATTGTGATATATAATATACTGTTTATTTACTTCAAAGAAAAAGTTAGTGTGCTAAACTATAATAAACTATTTTTTATTCACCTGCTATTTTTGTTTCAGTTTGCAATTGATTGATTGTTGGTGGACTATATAGTAATACTTTCTCATATTGTGAATGGAAACGCCCATTGCCGATATATTCAAATTGATGTTCATTATATGCACTAGCATATTTGCCAGCTGGTTCGATGAAGATATCATTATCATCAGTTATACTTTTAAAATCATATAACTGCTCAATTAAATCTTCATTGAAAATTAATTTTCCTATTTTTGCCTGTGATAATGTAACAGTTTTACTTGAATATGGATGACGTTGTGGATTAACATGATTCAATGCCTCATTATAATGCACTGATGAAACAGGATTTGGACGCCATCTTTGGATATAAAAGTATGTTTTTTCTTCTAATCCAGTCTCATTATCCGTAGATACCTGAATATTTTCGATCCATTGACAATATTCAACTTTTCGTTGATAACGTAATACATTTCGATGAAATCTAATATGAAAATCATTGTCATGTAATGAATCATCATTTAATGGTTCGATGCTCTTTTTCGAATGAAAATAAATTAATGGTTCTGAATATAAACTTGAATTAATATTGTCCACATCATTGACATATGTTATTTTTCTTTTACATCCAGTGTATTCAGCAAGTTTTTCAGAATTTTCCGATAAAGAATTATACAAAATGCGAAACATAAATAAGAAAAATAAGAATAATACGAATAATATGAATAATAAAATAAAACGTAAGAAACGTCCCATCTAAAAAATAAATACAAACAAATGAAGGGATAACACAGTTGGGTTTTGATGAAATGTTTGCTTCGGACTGGCCCTTATGAGGGATCATATACAAATGATAGATTGCTTTTGAATCTTGGTCATGTGAATCATGTAGGTCCTAGTGAGTTATGAACACCTTGAAAAGAATTCAGGCTATCAGCTTATTGCTATTGAAAGATTGTATTTTTTAGTATAAAGTCTTGGTTCTCCTCGGCAGCACAGGAGAACAGAGTTTCAAATTTCGACTTAAAACTTTCTACAAAGACAGGTCGCAATGAAAATATTTTATTGTGAAAGTTTCAGATATTTTGATTGTTCCTATTCTAAAATATAATTATACTAAAACATACTTTTATATCGGTCATATACGCCAGTAGATTCGGATGTTCTTAACTCAAGCTACTAGCAATTACAAGAGGGTATGGGCGTGGGTGTGCGTGTGGCAGTGAGTAGGATGCGATTATGTTTATTTTTAATCCACACCCACGCCCTCTATTTCTACAAGGCTGAGGTTAATAGCGCTTTCTTTGCACTATTTTATAAGATGTTTCAGGACTTTGCAGTGGGTTGATATTTCGCTGTAGATTCCTTTAATCTTTGACCATTCTTTAGTCCATTGTTGATGTTGTTTTTCGTCGCTAGAAAATATAAAAACTGAGTGTATGCCAGATATTTCATGAATTTCAAACATACTATATTCTGCAATTGATTCTGAGATAATGAAAAAGACGTTGGTATAGTAAATCTGCCTAGTGAAGTGAAGGTATTCATCGCTGAGTAAATACATTAATAGTGTTAACAATACGGCGTAGTTGAATAATCATATAGTCACGTCCCTTATTATTGTGACCAGTTTTGCCATCTAACAAAACTAGCTGGACATTTTGAACCAGAGGGCCATGAGCTCGATGAAGACTACCTTCTTTCTTGGAAGACTTAGTTACTGTTTTAACATTATTTTTATTGCTTGTTTCAATAAATGTTGTTAAGTTTTCGTTGTCCTTTATTTGCTAAATAATATCTTGTTTTCAAATGCAATGACTCTTGTTGTGTGTTATTATTTTATAATCGTACTTATATTTTTCATTTTTTCGTGAATGACTATGCATTACGAACATTTCAACTTATCAGTTCCTATGATATCGACAACTATAAACTAAAAAAAGAGCTCTATGACGTTTTTATTTTTTGTAATAAAATAAATCCTCTCTTTCTCTCTGAAAAGATATTTATGATCCTCACTGAAAGTCATATTAATCAAATGCAGTAATCTCTATTTTCGCAACATGATTACCGAAGATATGATGTTTCGATAGTTACACTGTTAATAATG